TGTGCGGGGCCGGGCGGGGCTGTGCGGGGCCGGGCGGGGCTGTGCGGTGCCGGGCGGGGCTGAGCGGGGCTGAGCGGGGCGGGCTCGGCCGGGCTGGGGATGCTCGGGGAGCGCGATGGAGCCGGCTGAGGGCTGGGACCCCTACGGGCGGCCGGCCCGGCGCACGCAGTGGCTGGTGAGCGCCCTCGCCTACCACTACGGGCTGGACCGCGGCGTGGAGAACGAGATCGTGGTGCTGGCCACCGGGCTGGACCAGTACCTGCAGGAGATCTTCCACCACCTGGACTGCGCCGGGGCCGGCCGCATCCCCGGCGAGGATTTCCGCACGCTGTGCCAGGTGCTGGGGCTGGAGGAGGCGGCGGAGCCCGAGGAGTGCGCGGGGCTGTGGGACGGGCTGGCGGCCGGGCTCACCTTCCGCCAGTTCCACGCGCGGCTCTGCGGGCTCTTCAGCACCCGGGCGGGCGGGTCCGAGCCGCGCCTGCCGCTGGGCCGGGACAGCGAGCACATCGAGACCCAGATCCGGCTGCGCAGCCCCCGCCGCCGCCGCCGCGGGCACCCCCCGGCCGGGCGGGCGGGCCCGGAGCGGCGGCCGGCGGGGCCCTGCTCCCCGGAGTGCTACGAGGAGATCGTGGCGCTGGAGCAGGCCGAGGACCGCATCGCCAAGCTGGAGGAGGAGAACGGCAGCCTGCGGGAGCTGGTGGAGGACATGCGGGCCGCCCTGCAGAGCAGCGATGCGCGCTGCCTGGCGCTGCAGGTGAGTGCGGCCGCTCCCGCTCCCCTCGGCGGCTCTCAGCAAAAGGGTGTCAGGCAAAACTCCGTTTGTCCGTCAGGAAAAGGATCCCAGCCGAGCCTGAGCTCCAAGTGTGTTTCTGACTTCATAACTAACTTATCTCTGGTTCCTCTTTAACGCGAGCGAAACGACAGCACCGCGGAATCCAGTCTGACAAGTAACGCTTGTGAACAAGTGACTGGTTCAGTCTGTTAAGATGCTGCTCTCTGAAATCCGGTGCTAATAAGCCCTGTGCCCCCAGCGTGATGGATAAAAGGAGTATGGCATAGACCCAGGTTGCTCTTTCATCCTCGGCATTAGCTTTTTAGCAAAGTTTGGTTACGCGGAGACTTTAAGGACAAATGTTGCATTTTCACCAGTGTGACATTATATATGGTTAAGGGATAGGCTGAAAAGCACCCTGCTAAAAGTGTAGGGGACTTCAAGTGTGTGATACCACTCTTCAAGTGCACATGCACAGGCAGTTACATACTGGTTATGCATCATTACAGGGCTTTTTCCTAAAGTCAGAAAGAACTTTTGGGTTCTTACCTGTACCAGCACATGCAGTGTCTCAGTTATAAGTGCCTTGGAAACATTAGAAGTGTGTTTTGTTCAGAGTGTGGTCACGAGAGTTCAGAGCTGGAGCCAGTTCTGCAGACAGGCTGATGAATAGTCTCTGGCTCCTCTGCAGAGCCCCATTAATTCTGGGGCTGGTTCCTGGTGGTTCTGCTGTACTGGCCATACATACTTAGCAGCAGTTAAATTACTCTGGCATGAAATAGCAAGGAACAGGCAAAGCAGTGAAGGGCAGAGTTCCCGGGTTGTTCTGATCAGGTCAGATTTCCCACTAACACAGCACTCACAGAACTCTGCTCCACGTGTGACACTGCCATTTCCATGAGCTGGCTGTGCCTCCTCACAACATCCAGCCTTCTGAGGACAGACCATAGTAATGACTTTAAAGCTATATGGACACTTGTGCAATAACCTAATAACAAATAGTTTGAAAATTAAATTTATAGATACATATTAAAAACCACTTTCCAGAGAATGTTTCCTTCTCTCTCTATTTCACAACGGTAAGTAGCTTATTAGTTGCTGATCAGCTATATGTGATTGAAAAAACCCAAAAAACTACAATCCAGAGATTTCAGTCTTGATAAAATGTCAGCTGCTTTAGGACACAGTGATTTCTCCTGCTTTCTGCTCCCGATCGTTGCAGGTGGGACTGCGGAAGAGCCATGCGAACCACAGGGAAGAGGGGACCTGTTCCATAGGGAGTAAGAGACCATTACCACAGAACCACTCCCAGAGCAAGTGCCTCCAAAGTGTCCTGAAGGAAATGGAGCTCATCCGGAGCTCCAGGGATGGGCAAATCGAAGAAGCGATCAGGTTCAACCAGGAGCTGGAAAGGGAGCTAAAGAGCTCTCAGGAAGCCCTGGTCAGTCTGGAGGACTGCAACCGTAACCTGAAGAGGGAACAGGCAGAGATGAGGAGGAAGGTGGAAGAGGCAAGACACGCCGTCCTGAACAGCCTTGGCAAAGTGAGGGAGCTGGAGGTGAAAGCCAACGAGGTGCCACGTCTGCAAACACACATCCAGCAGCTGGAATCGGAACTGCAGCACTACAGGTAAGTCTGAGTCCATCAAAAGTGCCTATAAAATCACAAAGTTAGTTTGAAAATCACTGGTTGGGGCTTATTAAATGTCTCCAAGTACATCTTGTAAAATCTAGCCAGAGGGAAATTAGAAGCTGCTTATCCATTTTCTTGGTAGGGATCCATAAGAGAGCTGGCAGCGTTCAGGGGGAGATAGGCCAAAGTAAGGGTGCTGATCTGCAGAGAGCTGAAGTTACTCCTCAAACACACAGCAACAGGACTCAGTAATGTCTCAAAAGGACATCATAATGCTTCAAGAAAGCCCAAAACAAATTGCTGACACTCCCTCAGAAACCATTTTCAACACACTTATTTTTTTCACCCTGTTTCCTGCTCATTAGGTCACATCCAAAGCCAGCTGTAAGCAGATGGCTGACACTCCATGTCTTGGGAAAGCTCTTCAACTTGTCATAGGAATTGGGGGAAAGCACACAGGGCCAACTTTTGGCCAGTGATTTTAAGCTCTGCTGTCTTCACTGCTGCCTCTCTGACAGAATAGGTAATACTCCAGAAGAGAGAAGCTGAAACTTTCCTAAATCCACAAAATAATATAGAGGGAATCTCAAACAAAAAATACATTATCCAACTAAACCCCACTTTTGTAATAACATAAATAAATGTTTCCAAAAGTCAGAAAGTTGGTCATGAATTTAATAGTTCACTGGTTTTGTTGCTTTTTGTCTCAGACAAAACTTGGACTCATTGATGGTTATTAAGTGTGTTAGGCTTTTCTGCCCAAGTTTCAAATTGACCTTTTGACATCTAATTTAAATTTTCACTGACCCAAAGCAAAGGCAATATTTATATCTATTTTTACTAACTGTACTAAAGCTAGTATTTTAATACATTGTCTATTCTGAACTCCTTGTCTCTTCTTAAACTTACACTTCCTCTGTTTGCTTATAAGAAGAGTTCATAGTGAGTTATTTGTGGCATCGTAGCTATTGTACTGTTTTATGAAGTGAGGAAATTCTAAAAATAACCATTTTATCCAGTGTCTTTCTGTAAGCATTGTGTATGTTAATACCTGTGTGGTTGCAGAAGATAAAAGCATTTATTTAAACATCTATAGGATTTAAAAAACACTGTGAGGGCACATAATGTCCAAGGTGACTGTCAGGGATATCTGGATAAATGAGAAAACTCTTAGTGTTAGGAGGGATCACACTACTTGTCTAGTCTCGTGTTCTCCCTGGCATGAGCACCAAAGATTTCTTGTCCTGCAGAATTGCTTTTCCCAAGTATGATGAAGGATAAAAGAATCCCCTTTAAACAGGTAGAGATGAATGAGTTGAAGACAAAAAGGAATGTCAGCTGGCCTTGCAGAGCAGGAACTTTATGGGTTACATCAAACATACACTGTGAGTTTAAAAATGTAAATTACATGTTCCTTGTCAGATAACCTTCATTTGTAATATTTATTTTCAAATTGCATGCTAATTTAAAGGGAGTGTAAAACTCAGGAATGGTGCTGGACTGACCACTGGGGAACTACACCCCTTCTTTAATCCCGGGGTACATCGACCAGGCCAGTTCCCACCCTTTCAGATTCTCTGTTGGCCACAAAGCACTTCCAGCTCCCCATCCATGGAATACAGCTCTTGGATCCAGCACTTTCAGAGGCACTTAATGAGGACTGTGGCTTGCATGCCTGTGGTCATATTCCATAGGAATGATGGAGTGCCATCATTCCTCACATTGCACAGGTGGCACAGGGGTGCCCAGAGCGGCAGAAGGGTTTCAGTTTGCAGTGCAGAGCTCTGGGTTGCTGTGGGGAAGGACAGCAGCCGTCCCTGCCCCACACAGCCTCCTGTGCCAAGATTTGTCCCACTCCCTTGCCCTGCTCACACTTGTGCTTCTCACCCCACAAACTCCTCCTGCTCCCAGGGAGTCCCCTCCTGTCTGTGTCTGCAGAGATCCAGACGCGCGGGGCAGCTCGGGTGAGGTGCTGGGAGTGCTGCTGGGGGGAAGCTGCTGGGTTGGCCGAAGTGTGGAGATGGAGGGAGAGCTGCTGTCCCTGGTGTTATGGCAGTGTTATCCAAGTCAGTCTGTGCTGCAGTTGGTACTCCAGTGAGCTTCCTCCATTGCCAGGTGCCACATGGAGTCTGGGAGCAGGATCTAGGCTTGGCAAGAACTAGTGCTGCAAGGTAGCAGCGGAGAGAAGGGGGTGGGGATTTGAGTATCCTGCAGAGAGCATTTGAGATTGCAGAGGTGTCTCCTGAGAATTCACCTTAACTGGCTTGGTCTGCCACAGGTTTGCTCCAGCTAAAGGCTCATTCCTTGCAGAGAGGATCATGTTTGAGTCCAGTCTATGAGCTTTACATGCTGCTCCTATTTATAGTTCCGTATTATGAAAGGAAATTCAGTGTCTGAATACAGAAGGGTTTAGAAAGTCAGGCAAGTCCCATTTTTATGCAGTGATGCCCAAGGAGTTATTTTGTACTGGGGCACTTGATTTCATTTTCCCAGGTATAGTTCTTTTCAGTTGTTATTACTGAAGCTCAGCTGTTCCATTTATGGATTACTTCTCCAGTTTCTCAGGATGCTGTTGGGACTAACCTCCAAACTGCTCATTCCCTCCCGGCTTGGAGTCCATTGCACACTTGTAATTTCTCTTTCAAAAGCTGGGAGCCCAAATGAACACACTGGTCAGGTCCCAGGCCAGATTCTGGTGGCCTTCCCTTGATAGACTCTATCTGAGGACAAATCATTACCAGCTGTTCCCTAAACTCCCTTTTTTTTCCACTAAGTTTTGCTCCAGCTCAAGGGGACACCATCCATGTATTCTAATATAGTCTTATGACTTACAAGTATTGTTTATAGGAATGCCACATATAACAATGTTACTACAATTACAATGTCACATCTACTCCTTCTTTTTATCCATTCAGCATTTTTCCGTGTCAGAAAAGGAAATTAGATTGGTTTGACATGAATTGTTCTTGCCAAATATAAGTTGGCTCTGTTTTCTATACTACATTGTAGGTGGCTTAAAAATTGATCACTTAATAAAGTTTATGGATTCTTATTCTCTTTAATAGCATTGGAGAGAATAAAAGAATTTAACAGCCTTTTTTTCTTTTGATCCCAGTGTAACAAATAAAAAGAAAGGTCATTTAGAATTGAAATACACTTCATAATAGAGACGTTCACAGAGGGTTTATGTTGCTGCATTAATCAGCAGCAGAGTAATTACATAGGTCAGTGGAAAGGGTCATAAAATACCAAAAATGCTTCCCATATGCATGGTCTGTCTCCCAAATTACTTAATTATCCATCAGCATTTATATGTGTTAATGAGTAGGAATCCTTTATGCATGGAATGCAGAGGCTTGTTTCCTCCCCTCATATTCTCCTATAAATATCAAGATTGAGGCCTCTGGCATAATTTTCTCCATTTATTAATTTCATCAGTGTTAAAATTTTTTAAAAACTTATGCTTTAGGCTATCTTACTTTGGAAGTAGTTCCACTTCTCTTTTCTTTCAGGAGACAGTGTCCTGATCTTTTCAATAATTTCTCAGGTTGCCATTTATTCTGTAAAATATAACAGGATGGACCAAATCAATAATTCAAGAACAGGAGAGGAATATGGAAATATTCCTAACTGGTACAGAATCAGCTCCATTAAATGAAGAAAGAAAAGCCCTAGGAAGGAAACACTAATGCACAAAAGAAGGTGTCTATAGCAGGTTATTTCCAGTTGGAATGATAATGCATACTTTATACTTAGGCATTCTAGAACTGTTCTATTTTAAAAATTAGACAGTAAATAAAAAAAATCTGGACGATTTCTGCTTGACTGTTGTCATCAATACCAATTATTTGCTGGTTGTGAGGTGAAATGTGGCAAGTTGTTTCGGGTGGCACAAAACTTGAATGGAGGTGGGTGTTCATGTGCTGGACCACACAAAAGACTGGACAGACCTGCAGATGATAAATATGTCCTTGGCCAAGAGCAGTGACAGGCAGGGAGCAGGGACTGATGGCAGTGGGAATGAGGACAGTCAGGGAACTGAGCTCATGGAGAGTAAAATGAAATGTTACTTTGCAGAACCTCATCTGTAAAAGCGCTCAGATTGTTTGGGATGAACTCATGTCATCTCATTTTATGCTTGTACGGGTTATTGTTTTCTACTTAGGACTGTGAGAAGTTATGTATTGCATAGAAGTCTGCCCAAAAAACCACAGAACTTCAAGCTTTTAAAGAAGTTAGTAGTAACAGGTGAATATGTAATCATCACCTGAAGCTTAGACTACTGGCATGTCTCATAATAGAATTGTAAGCTAAGCAAGCAAATCAGATTACTCTCGTTGGGAACACTTTAAAGGAACTTTAAACGCTTTAAAGTTTGATTTCCCAAAAAGGGATAATGGAAGATATTGTTATATATGATAGAGAGAACTGTACAGAGCAGTTTAAATACATTAACTTGGCATTGAAGAAAATGTGTAGCATCTCTTTCTATGGAAGGGGTAGTTTTATTTCAAATGCAAGTCTCTCAATGCTTCCCATAATAACAGCAAACCCTTTACTTCAAATCCATTCAAATGAATGCATTTATCCCCAAGGAAGCCTGTGCTTGTGTGCTGTGCCGTTGGAAGTGTAGCCAGTTCTCTGGCCCTTTTCTGTGCTGGGCTCTTAGTTACACAGTGTTTATTCTTGGGAGGCTTTCCCGGGCTTCTCCCTAAATCCTCCTTTTATCTGCCTGGCCTTATTTGCTGTGTGGGCAGTAAATCACAGAAGCACAATGGCAGTGCCACAGACGGGGCACTGCCCGTTCCCGGTGTCCGGGCTGCTCCTACAGCCCTGCTCCCCAGCAGCCCTGGCACACCCTTCCTGGGCAGGGAGAGGTGAAGGCTCCGAGCAGCCCTGCAGGGACAGAGCACAGCCCCGGCCAGGGAGCTGTTCTGTGCTCTCCAGCACAGCTGCCTGTTAAAGCTGTCTCCTCCCCCCTTCTGTGCAGAATTTGC